GAGAGAGAGAGAGAGAGAGAGAGAGAGAGAGAGAGAGAGAGAGAGAGAGACAGAGAGAGATAGATAGATAGATAGATAGAGAGAGAGAGAGAGACAGAGAGAGAGAGAGAGAGAGAGAGAGAAACAGAGAAGAAGACGAAAGAGAGAGACAGAGAGAGAGAAAAGGAGACAATAAAGGAGACAATAAACAAGGAGACAGAGAAGGAGACAAAGGAGGAGACAGAGAAGGAGACAGAGAAGGAGACAGAAAAGGAGACAATAAAGGAGACAATAAAGGAGACAATTGAAGAGAGAGTAACCTTTCGATCTGTGCATGCTTGAGGTCTTCCCAGGCCTTTCTAATAAGCGAAGGAACGGCAGCAAAGTGTCTCCTTTTGCTGCTACGAGGCGAAGGAGACAGCTGAAAAGAGACAGGCTGAGGAGACAGCTGAAGGTGAGGAGACAGCTGAAGGTGAAGAGACACTCGAGGCTGAGGAAACTGCTTAATAAGAGGAGACAGTCGAAGGAGAGGAGACACCCGAAGCTGAGGAGACAGCTGAATAGGAGGAGACAGCTGAGACAGCTGTGGGGTATGATGAGGGTGAGGAGACAGTTGAAGGAGAGGAGACAGTTCTTGCCGCTTAGGTGTATGTACACACCGCAGACTAGAACGAAGCAAAGAAGAGACAGGCTGCATCTTTAAAGCCCTCAGCTGCTGCAGCAAACAGGAGGGCTAGGGAGAGACAGCAGGAAGAGGAGACAGACAGAGGAGACACAAAGGAGAGACAGACAGCCAAACAAGCAAACACACAAAGAAACAGACAGAGACTAACAAGAAGAGAGAGGCAAAGGTAGAGGCAAAGGAGATACAGAGACAAAGGAGACAGCGAGATTAAGGAGACAGCAAGATAAAGGAGACAGCAGGCGACTTGCAACAAGAGAGAGAGACCCCAGCTGTCCCTTCTCCGCCGCTGCAGCTCCTGCAGCTGAGCTGTCTGTACACCTCAGCCCATAGCTACGGTGTATATGCATGCGTCTCTATTTAGAATAAAAACCCTCAAGAAGGAGACAGCAGCAGCCCCTATTCAAGCTATGAAGGCAGCAACAGTAACAGCTGCGTATACACCCCAGGGCCCCACACCCTCAGCTCTAAGACACAGAAGCCATCCTCTTTAGGCTGCACACAGCCAGCAGCAGCATGAAATACCCTAAAGATAACGCAGCAGCAGCAGAAGAAAACAACAGCAGCAACGGAGACTCCTCGGGGCTGTGGGGCTGCATGCATGGATGAGGGACCTGCCAATACACCTCAGCAAAAATGAAGCAAGGGAAAGTTTTAAAAGAAAATATTAGCTGCTGCTGCTCTTCTTCCTGCTGCAGGAACGCTCTCCGCATGCAACCCTTCGACTATACCAGTGGACCTCGGGCGCCAAACATACAGCAGCAGCAGCAGCAGCAGCAGCAGCAGCAGCAGCAGCAGCAGCAGCAACAGGGCTAGTCTTCCTTCCTTTTTATGTTTTTCTCTTCTCTTTCCTTGGGCTGAGGTCTCTTTTGCTGCTGCTGCTGCTTCTGCTGCCTCCTAGCGAACTGCAAAGTTGGGGCGGCGCAGCAGCAGCAGCGGCGGCGACGTCTGCTGCAGCGCAATCACCAGCAGCAGCAACAACAGCAGCAGCAGCAGGGACCCTAGGGAGGATGCCTTCTCGCGAGGAATCAGAGGAGGAGGAGGTGGTGGAGGTTTCTGCTGCTTCTGCGTCTGCTGCTGCTGCTGCTGCTCACGAAAGCAGAAGAAAGCGGAAACGGCGCCACAGCAGCAGCAGCAGCAGCAGCAGCAGCAGCAGCAGCGACTCATCAGAGGACGAGAGACGCCGGTGGGTCTCCACGGCGCTTTGCTGAGTGGCGTTGTATGCAGCTTTGCTGCCTTCTCTGTTCTTGTGCTGCTCTTAGTCTCTTCTCTCCTCGCAGCAGCTGCAGCTGCAGCAACAGCAGCAGCAGCAGCAGATTGTTTCCCTGTGCTTACTTCTGTGTCTCCTGCCCCTTAAAGGGTTAGATATCTGTCTCCTTTTCGCTGAAGCTAATCCTTTTGTTGCTGCCTTTGCATGCAATTTCTTTATTTGAATAAGCACCGCTGCACTTCTTCTACACTCAGAACAACCCCCAGCGAATATATTTATATTATTTTTAATGTATAGGACTCTGTGTATTTGTATAGTGATGTCTACAGCCCTATGCATATGTACATATATATATATATATATATATATA